TAAGATTTGACTTCTTTGGAGCCTGGATTCCTGATGCTTTAAGACAATGATTCTCAACCTGTTCCACATCATGCATCTTTTTATAAATTGATGAAAGTTGTGAACTTCTCTCCAGAAAAACATCTAGAGCACAGACACTCAAACATCAGCCTGCAATTTGAAAGGCTTATGAGCCTGGGAAGCTGGTACTCTGACCTGGGGCTTGGACCCCCTGTTTTAAGAGCAGCAGGCAGCTGTGTGGCCGGTACCGAGAGCCGGTACTGCATTTCACAGTGGGAGCTGTGTAGCTGAATTGCAATCACAGTATTCTACCAGTGTGGATGAGGGGAAGCTGGCTGCTTAGCTCAGACTATCTAACTTTCTGAAAAAATTCTAAATTCTACCAAACTATAGAAATCCATTTGCAAAAATCCTAAATGATAATCTTGGTGTGGCTACCAATGAGCTTGGTGACTTTGGCCAAGTCCCTTCCTTCCTTTGGGGTATCTATTGTCTTGCTTGTGAAGAGACAAAGGTCAGAACTGAAGCAGAGCTGAGGTTCCTTCCAGCTCTGAAGTGCCCTGACTCTGTCACAGTGCCACACTGGTGTGTCCTTTACTGAGGGGAAAAGGTGTGGCAGCCCTCAGAGGGGTTGGACCTGAGCCCTGGCGAGGAAAACTCCAGCTGCTAGTCGAAGTTGTGCTCCTGGTCATCCCCTGAGCTCAGGACCTCCTACTTCTGCATCGCTCTGCTTCTCCTAGCAGCTGAATTCTGGGGCTGGGGCTGCAGTGGCTGCTACTGGGATTTAGAATTTAACACTCCATTCATGGTGATTGAAGCTCAGGCTGTGTGCCCTGGTAGAGGTTACAGCCTTATAAATTGCAGTTCTGTGGGGGAGGGCTCAGAGCAGCCCAAATACCCAGTGATAGAGGGGAAGTGGGCTTTTCTGTGGTACCACTGGGGGCTTCCTGGGCACCTGGCCGCCTCCTCCCCCCCCACCCAGCACCCACCGCCCCTGTGTGATCTCGCAAGGGCTCTCTGCTCCTTGGAACTCATTACAGATATCACAGAAGGGGTGCCCTGCACAGAAGAGGCCCTTCCCCTCCCACTCTCTGGTTGGGGCACCTGCTGGTGGGGGCGTAGAGAGGGGTAGAGAAGGATAGCATGTCTGCTCCAGGGATGTGATGGGCTGTGGGTCTGTGCTATTCCCTGGGCATGGAAGCGGGCAGTTCCTAATGTGATCCGTGACTTTTAAGCTTCTGGCCCAGTCACAAATCAGGGGGCTCCAGGTCTGACTCTGAGACTGGACCCTTCAGGCAGCAAGTGATAACATCTGTTGACTCCAAGTCCCTTCTTTGAAATCCATGCCACCTTTTCCTTCTTCTCTCCCAGGGCCTCCTCAGCACCTTCAGGCCAGAATTTAAATGTTATTAGCTATAACTGATCTGCTCAGGCCCTCTGTGGGATTGAGAGGGGAGAGCAGAGGAGGCCTGAGGTGCAGCAAAGCAGCACAGTCTTCATGGGGCAACTACCGGGGGCTCAGGAATGCTCAGCTTTTTGCCTCAGGGAGGAAGACCCTCTAAGAATCCCTTGGAAAGGAGAACACAGAAGTCCTTGACTCAGCTCCAGGAAGTGCTCCTTTCCAGTTGGTGCTAGTTTTCTTCATACACTTACTCACCCATGCCTACACACTGGGACACATTTGCACACCCAGTACACCAGGCTTGTGCTTACAGACACATTGTGAACCTGTCTGTAGAATGTTTTTCTTAGAAGAAGCAATATATGCAGACCCTGCTCACATCTCCACATAAATACATCCTTCTCTTTTTTTCTTCCTGTACATGCATTTGTCATCAGTATATACACTAACGTATAAAACCATGAATTATCTCAAGCTCGTGCATATACACTTTCTTAACTCAGCCTTTGAAATACGCTGTGTGTGCACACACCTGGAGACAGGACTGTGTGTCCCACATGCATACTTTGTGCTCCTCTGTCTGAGGCCCACATGCCAGGTGATAATTTGCTCCAACACAAAATTACTCCACTCTCCTTCCTTCACCCCTTCATTGAGCAGCTCTCCCATAGATGGAAACTTCTTTTCCTAGCCGTGTCTCTTCCTTTGGAGTTGAGTATGTGAAGCAGTGTCTGGAGTGGGGGAGGGAGGATTAGTACAGTAGGGGTCTAGGAGCCTGGGTTCTTATTTTGCTCATTTATCTTTATATAACCTCACACACCTTGTGAGTCCTTCAATAGATAGATATCAAATCCAGCCTCAGTTTTCTCATCCATAAAATGGGTTAAAATACCATCTGCTTTATCTCCACGATGGCAATATTATGGGCATCAAACCTGATACCTAAGAAAGCAGCCTCAAAGTGTAATGTACATGATACTGCGGGCTATTAGGGTAGTTTGTTTCATAAGTGAAGTCCAAGAGCTGGCAAAGGTAGGCGTAGCATTTTTCTGGTGGAAGCTGGTCCTAGGGCTGGTGTTGCCAAAGTCTCCCAGTCTAGGGCTCAAGGAATCAAAGTAGAAATTTTGCTCTTGGTCCTGACTTTCTTCCTTCTTCACTCCCATTCTCACTCTTGTCAGTTTTAGACACATCATGGTTACAGAACCAAGGATCCCTGGCACTAACCCAAGCATCTGCCCTGGGCACATGGGCACACATGGGCCTGGCTCCCGGGCTTACACCTGGGAGAGCTTCTCTCCACTCCTGGACCCTGGGGCTGTGCCAGCCAGCTGTGTCTAGAACTAGAGCACCCCCGCCCCTCAACCCAGAACTGGTGGTGTGGTGAACTTCACAGACCAGGCCAGGGCTGATTCTTTTATCTTCGCTTCCCAGCTAGGTATGTGGCAACCCCCAAATAGCATTTTGACATCTAAGATGGGCACAGGAAGGCCAATTTTTGCCTAGCCCAGAGTGAGCCCTCAATGTTCCAAGCCACAGTGCCTGGTACGGGCTAGGGCAGCCCCAGAGGAGGGGAGGCAGGACACTGAGGCCAATGTCAGCTTTGGAAAGAGGCCAGCAACTGTCACGGAGCTGGCGTATATCCAGTTGGGGCATGTGAGAGGTGAAGGGACTTTTCGGCAGGATGGCTGTCTAGATTTGGGGCTTAGAATTGTCTCAGACTCAGCTCAGAGCTTTTATTTCTTTAGCTCAACCCTAACAAACTTGGGGTAGCACTTATCTCCTTCAGTTACTCCTCCCTGGAGCAGTATCCAGAGAAGAAATTCTAGTGGACACTTGGTACTTTGCAGAGCAGATGAGCATTTTCCGGACGTGCTCAGAGGTAGAAGGGGGTGGAGGCTGGGTACTAAGAAACTGGGCTCCTGCCAGCTGGCTAGGTGGCCTTGGAAGCTCTGAGCTCTCATAAGTGAACATGGGAATGAACATGGATGTCGTGGAAGAGGGTAAGCTTATCCCTTGCACAGGCTCCGCTTTCTGCAGGGGGTGACTCTGCATGATCCTCCTCCCTTATCCTGCTCTGCAGCTGCACCAGCTTTCCAGACGCTGGCCAGGAAGCCGGGCCTGGAGGGGGCTGGGCAGACAGGGCCCAGAAGCTGAGCCGGTCTGGGGGCGGAGCCTATAAACACTGCAAAGCTCCAACCTGGCTCCACCCCTTCCCTGCCTGGAGCTCAAGGGGATGACATCACCGAGACTGAGGGCTCCAGCCTAGATGGGTTTGGATCCGGGGAAGCTGGCACCTGCAGGGCTGAAGGACTTCCCGGCTTTGTCAGGCTGTGGTTTTCTGCTGTGTCCTGAATCTCACTCAGCTGAAGGGGTCTCTGCTTTGGGGTCTTGGAAATGGCACCTGTCTATTCAGACTTCCACGTCTGGAACTCTGGTTCTTGTGCTCGAGACCGATCTCTCTGGCAGCACGCCCAAGCACCCCTCCCCCAACCTTGGCAAATGCGCTTTTTTCTTGCCAGCACAGCTGCGCTCCATTTTTCCGAGGCTCCATGGAGAAAGATTAGATCCCTAGTTCTAGTTCTGACCAGGAAATAGCCAGCTCACAGCAAACCCTATGTCCCCATCCCTGTAGGTCTGTGTCCCCTCCCCCACCCAAAACCCTACTGGGGTGCTTGTGTCGCCTGCTTGTGGAGCATATGCTTGGCTGGTTGCTTGGTGTCTGCTGTTTATCCGTCTCTTCCTACTTAACTTCTGTTTCTGCTTGGCCCATCTGGCTCCCGTGGTACCTGTCTTTCACTTGAGTGAATTGTGCCTCCACGCCAACACTGTGCTCCACACTCTGCTCCCCTCCCTCTACCACTTCCCCCCCAGGGCACAGCTCTTGTTCACTCTGGGGCCACTGGCAGGTGCCCCTGACCTGGGGTGCAGGAGACGTGAGGGACTCAAGGTTTTAGGAGTGACCCAGGCACAGCTGGGAAGCCTGATGTGGGGGTCACTGCAGTTTTCTGGGGACACCACTGGAAAGGGGCGTTGAGGGGGATGGTGGAGGACAGCATGGGAGTGGCCTTTGGACTGGAAAGATGGCTAGGTCCCCATGAAAACCTCCCTCTCCCTGGCTCCTTCTGAACTTCCTTCCTAACAGCATTCTTGGAGGTGGGGGTGGGGTCTCCCAAGTCAGCATCTTGTAGATACTGCTCTCTGTCTGCAGCAGCAATTGGAAAGTGACCTGTGAGTAGTGGTGGGAAAGAATGAGGCCAGGGAAGCCGCAAGGTTCTTCTGACCCACAACCCCAGGGTTCTTCGGACTCCTTCCTGCAGAGAAGGGGCTGAGGCAGTCTGGTGGCTTGGGCAAAAGAAAAACATGGCGGTAGCAGGTAGCTGAACGATGATCACAGTGGGTACCCAGAGGAGAAGGGACCGCCCTCCCCCCACCACTTGGCCAGGAGTACTCTGCTGAGGATCAATCCCACCCCAGCACATTGCAGACTCTCCGCACTAGGCTCCATGCTGCCAGAGCCACTGCTCCACCTCCTCTGCCCCTCCCACCAGCTTGCACACCCATGCACAGACTAGTACACCGTGCTGTGGCTCACACTTACCCCTCCAATGCAGCGCGCTTCCTTCCAAGCGTGATAGGGCAGCTTATGGCTTCCTGGGACACACAAGGGGGTGGTGGAGCTGGAGGAGGACGGAGGAGAAGCAATGGAGCCCCACAGGGACAGGACTGTCGTTCATCTGCCTCTCTGGACCTGCGTTGCTCCTCCAGGTTAAGGCTGGCTGCCGAGGAGGTTGCCCTGGGCTTGGAGTCAACAAGCATCCACGTGCTTGGGGACCATTGGTTGCTGCTCCCTGGAAGCATCTGCTTCCCACGGAAACCCACAGGGCTTGGCTGCCAGGCCTCGCTGCGTGCCCACTCCTCTGGCTCTGTTCTCTGTCTCTGTTGTTCCATCTGCCTGCGCCACCAGCTCCTGGCTCCACTCTCTTGGCCTCTTTATTTCTCTCCCAGAACATTCCTCCTGCTCCTCTTTTCTCCCTAGCCTTTCCCCCAGTCTCTACCCAACCACATTTGTGACTCAGTCCCTGAGGTCTTCTTTCCCCTTTGTCTTTATCCAGCTTTCCTCTAGCTTCTCTGCTATTTTCCCCTTATTCATATCTTCTCGCTTTCTCTCGCTCTCTCTCTTGCTCGTTCTCATGCATATTCAGTGACTCCTTGAGAATCTACCTAGCTGATTCTATGTGCTAAAAGCCTAGATCTGCTTCAAGAATAAAACTTCTATGACTGTAACTCTAGGTCGCTGTCTCTGACCCCATTTTGGATTAATTGCTGAGGAAATGTTGATAAACCCCTGTGCTCTTCCCCACAAGCATTGCTTACTCATAGCCCTTCTGATTTGGGACCAGGCAGTTGCAGAGTATGTAGAAGTCAGGCTGACAAGCCATAGCGCCTCAGTCAGGACACACGGTGGAGGGCACAGAGTGTCTGGGGCAAGAGTCTCCCCTTCAAAGGATTTGATGAGTTCAGTCCTGGAAATAAACTTAGGATCTAAAGTGTCTGATCCTTTGGTGATTTTACAATCCTTTTACATCCGCTCTATTATCCCCTTACAACTCTCATGGGAGGCTCATAAATGAAGAAACTGTGGTGTTCAGATTGTAAGTCACTCCACCAGCACGACCCAGCACTCGAGGAGCAAAGCTAGAAGCAGAATTTCTGCTTTGGGATTTCCCGTCCCTTGACTGTGGCAGGTGAACAAACAGAAAGAACCTGAAAGAAGGGGAAAGCAGTAAAGGACCCAGGGGTGAGGAACTGAGCCCAGGGCCACCAAGGGCCAGGGACGACAGAGGGTGAGGAGGGAGGAGGGCCAGTGGTAGGTGAGCCAGTGTCAGTGACTTGTCCTTTCCTGGTTCTCCTTAGTTTTATGGTGACCACCAGTAGTGGGAGGTGGGGATGGCAGCATGGCAGCACTGTGTCTTCTTGTCCTCACATGTTAACGAGTCACCCCCACCCCCATCTCCGTTGTTTCTCCTTCTCCTTTTTCTACCTATTCATCATCTGGCCTCAAGGTTCCTTCCCTGCTTTATTCTTCATGCTCTGTCCCATCTTCAGGTCACTTGTCTGTCCTTCCTCTATATCTTTGGGGCCCAGTCCTTCCCTCTGCCATGTCTCTTCCGTATTTCCCATTTCTTTCCATCTCTTTGTTTCCTGAACACCTCCTCATAAGCCTGACTCCCTGGTATCTGTCTCTCACTGACTAAGTAACCAAATGTATTCTCAAGGTGGCTGGAAAGTGCCTCAGAAGCAGGGTCCATGTAGGAATGGACTGGAGCTGGCCTGTCACATCCCTCCAACATATCTGCTGACTCTGCTCCACGTTTCCAGAGCGCTCCCAGTGCAGCCATCTCCTTTACAGCCACCACGGGGGTTGTTGTCTCTGGCCCTACCTGAGATAGACCGGTGGCAGATTTGCTCCCCACCCAGAGACTCACCTAGAGGCCCCACTGTGGGACACTTTAGCAGCTATGAAGTACACAGACCTCTTCTTCTCCAGGGAAATTTCCTGACACCCTTTCTCCTGCCTACAGGAGCCAAAGAGAACAGTTTAGCCCTGAGACTGCTACCTTGTTTCTCTGGCTTGCTTGGCTTTTCTTCCATACCCAGGTATTTTCCTGTTTTCATAGGGGACTCCTGGGCCAAAGACATACTTTTTTTCTTAATGTTTCGTTTTTATTTCTGTCCAGAAACAAAACAAAACAAAACAAAACAAAATAAAACAAAACAACAAACCCTTCAATACCCACTCTGTATTTTAAATAGTCCCACCAAAGAAATTACACTGGTCTAGTCCTTAGACCAGCAATTGGGGAGTGGGCACCAGCATAACCCTTGACTGTCTTATTTGTTCTCCCTCCTTTGATGAGCCCTATCTCTTGCGTTTGAGTTCTGGGCTCTCATGCAGTACAAGGAGATGGAGTGAGAGCTTGGTGCTGTGATGTCTTAGGAGAGTGGGGACTCCAGGGGAGAAGCAGTTTTTTCCCTTGATTTCATGTAGAAGACCATGAGGGAGCATCTCCAGCCGAAAGAGCTCAGTTAAGTCCAAAGGCAGGTCAGCTGGGTCCAGCTGTGAGGTCTTGGGCCACTCACTAAGTCTCTCTGAGCCTCAGGTTCTTATCTGTAAAGAAGGAGCAATAATAATCCTATCTCATAGCATTGTTGAGAAGATTAAATGAGAAAATACAAGTGAAGCACTTTGTAAATTATAAAGAGCTCTAGAGAAGCTATTATTTATGGAGCAGATGTTAAGGCATCCGGGACTAAAGGAGAAGAGGGAGGCAGCAAGTAGCACTTGCCCTCTAAGAGGCTTAGTGAGGGAATTCAGAGAAAGCACTCAGAGCACAGACACCTGGCAGCCAAGGCACCTCAGTGGGGAGGAGGGCAGATCTCCACTGTCTTCACAACCTCCATCTGTATGTAGTCTTATCGTTTGCTCCGACAGATGCAAACGGCAGCGTGTCCCAGCCTTCAAATCCTTGCCTTTGCATTGCAGATTTGTGGAAACTAGGTCAACACAACCAGGTAGGAAAGTGAGGCCCAGGCAGGAGAGGGGATGGATGTCTCCGGGGAGCTTGATTTTCTCCATAGATAAGAAGGCAGAAGACAGGATTGTGGCTCAAAGACAGGCACCAGATAACATGATATCACCATGAAATTAACAGCAAAAGTGGGTAAAAGAAACGTTAAAAGGCATTGAGGAATCCTTTGTCATTCCTCACTATATGAGGGCAGCAGGCTTGCCTTTAATGTTCCTGTCTGGGTTGTATCCTTATGGAATTGTAAGTTTCTCCTGGACAAGGACCTTGTCATTTTGGATTACATTTCTACACTTTGCCTTGCAGACACATCCACTTAATACGTATTACTTGACTGAGTGATTGGAAAAGAGCAGGAACAAAGAAAGAGGGTAATAAGAGGTGAGCTGTTTTTATATAATCTATTGTGTAGAAGACCTGAGCACCCCAGCATTTGTCCTGATTGGGGCACAATTTAAATTTGACTTCCCACCTGAAAAGAAATCATAACAGCAACAACCCAACTGCCTTGTTCTCTTTATAGCTTGGTGGGTCTGGATAGGATAAGGACATCTGACTGTTGGGGGTAGAAGGGACTGTTGGTTTGTGGAGGGAGATGTGGAATGGGTATTTGGAACTACAGAGCACAGAGAAACAATGTAGACTATTAAAAGGGGCTAGTTGGTCCAGTGGTTACCAGAGGAAAGTGGGGCCCAGAAAGGTTAAGTGAGTTGCTCAAGATCATCCAACTTGTTGATGGCAGAACTGGAAACCAAGCAAAGGTCTCTAACTCCTCATCTTGAGCTCCTCCCAGGACTGCAAACTACCTTCTCACAATTGATTCCAACATGGGACACAACGCCCCAAACAGAGTGAGCTTAAGATCTACTTCTGATATGGATTGGGACACCAGATACAGGCTGAGAGTCTCTCCCGGAGAAGGAATGGTATACCAAGGGCACTTGCTTTCCCACCCCTACCTCCTCCTTGATCCCAGCAGGTCCTGTTGATGTAAGAACTTCCCAAGGAAGCAGAGATCTTAGAGCAAGCTTTGGAGAGGGCACAGCCTGCAGCAAGGCCAGCTTAAGGAGGGAGACCCAATCTCCAGGCCTCCCTGGTGACTCTTCTTTGCACTCTGACTTGGTGAGGAACGCCAACTCCTCCTCTGCCTGAAGCTGGAGGAAGATGGTAAGAGCTGGGCTCTGGCTTCTGGCTTATTGGCTGTGACTCCTGATCTCCTGCTTGGATGGAAACAGGAGAGTAAGAAGAATGGGAAAAGAGAAATAAAATAGCGTGAGATGAAAGATGCTCATCTTCATTGGGGGTGAGGGAGACCCAAGGAAGACAAACACCACTTGGACTCTCCACTCAGACACTGAACTGGGATTCCTGGCTTCAGTAGGCCACGAGGAACAGGCAGTACCTGTGGGAGGTCAGAAAAGGGAGCAGCAACCAGACAGATTTTGGAGCCAGTTGTATTCAGGCTGAAGTCCCGTTTGTCCCTGGTCAAATTACCTGATCTTTATGAGCTTAGTTTCTCACTCCATAATATGGGGTGATGATAATGTCAACCATAGAGTTATTGTGAAGATTAAACAAATACATGTGCAGAATTCCCATAATATAGTAGGTACTTTTAGATGATAATTCTGTTTCCTTCCATAATCCCAGAGGGGCCTAGCCAACTCCATTTACACTTACAGCTTCTGAGAACAGAGAAGACCAGGCCACCTCCTTTAGATGCCCCATCTCCCAGGTTGTTCTGGCAGTGGGGGAGTCTAGTGGTTCTCACCGAGGGTCTTCTTCCAATGGGGACCTCCTGGGAGTCACACTTAGCAATGAGAGCCTGGGGTCATAGATGAGATCTCTCTACTTTTGTACATATGTTTAAAAAAAATGACACAAATTGATCACCATAGTAGATCCTGGGGTTCAAAAGAAATTGAGCTGCTCAAAAACCACATGTTGCAGAATGCATCGTAGCAGGCAGCATTTTTGGCTATGAGGGCTCTGAACCCCAAAGCCCCACACTGAGGTGCTTGCTCTTGCCTTGAGAGGTGAACAGGTCACGCTCACATCAGGCCTTCTGCTACCTGCAGTAAGAGATGGGATCTGTAGGCAGACAGATACCAAATTCAAGTCTCAGCTTTACTGCTTTCTGCCTGTATAACTTGGCTAAGTGATTTGAACTCTCTAAGTCTCAGTTTCTCCATCTGTAAAAAAAGGATGATATCTCACCCAGAAAATTGCTTAGAAGATCAAGTCAAGATAGGCACACCATTTAAACCACCCAATACATTGGTAACAGGGATGGTACTTTTAGATGATGATAATGGTAAAATCACTTACAACCAGACCAGTGAATTGGTGATCTCGACACTGTGGTGAGGCTTTAAACTGCTCCATTAACCTCTCACCTCATCTGTCCCTTAGCCCCATTTAAATTAGACCCCATCTCTCAACCTCTTCCCATTAGCCTGACCCTCCATAGTCATTGCATCTCATGAATGGCTCTGCTGGAAGTGACCAGATCCCACCTGGCTGCTAGCT